GTTACTAGTCCACTCCTTTTGGGAGACAGGAATCAAGAGAGCTCTTAATTTGCTAACTCTTTTTCGGTCCCTTCATCAGAACTACTCTAATTCAAAATTGACAAGTCGAACACATTAAACACCTAAATTAAAAGACAAGGAAAAGAAATAACTCCTGTGCTTGTTATCTTTCCTGCTATGCAGCTTTTACTAGAAGATCAAGAAATAACAGGCTCATATGGGAAGTGAAATCAGGATGTATTATGTAAGTTCATGCTAGAACATAACATGGTATGAGCAACCAGAGTAGAGAGCTGTGGAGGAAAGAACTAAAGCAATTCAGAGAGACAGTAGCTAGGAGAGATTTGCAGACAAAAAATGGTGATGTTAACTATCTCATGTGGTAATGAGATGAGATCGCACCTCTTTGGGGAAAGCATGAAATTTGTAGTGGACCGAGAAAAGAAGGTAGTCCAGGGCAAGGTTGTCAGAACAGGACTAAAACCGTTAGCACTTTGAAGGGTATTTCACAAACAAGATATAAATCAACATTTAGGGGATTAGTAGAATTAGTATGTACAATAGACCCTTATGGTCGGGCCCTTCCCCGGACCCTGCGCATAGTGCACCGGGCTGTCCTTTTTTAGTAGAATTAGTATCTGCCGCTTATCTAAATGATCCAACCCCAAAAACAGTGATTAAAGTAACACAACATAAAAAGAAGCTGTAATGGAAATGGAATTCTGTCTGAGAGAGCCAGGACAAATCTTGTTAAAAGTTTCCATATAAAATGCTTCTTGGTTCTTGCCATTATTAGTTGCTTGCCGCAGCCCAACTGAAAAATCAAGAGGCATTAGGCAATGCATCCAGAACACTACAGAGACTTGTCTAGACATGCATCATTTATTGGCAGCTAGGATCTCTGCATTACATATGCATAAAGAGATCACAGAAAAGCATAAACTCTGCATGCTTATTTGCTCCTTCACATATACAAAGAGCAAAGAGGGCATACGTTCTGTTCTCAGCAGGTTAAGATAGGTGAAAAGAAAATCACAAATGGATAGATTTCCAATATTAGCTTAACCAAAGGAAATGAAACTGTAAGATGGTTCAGCAAGTGGATAAGCATATCATGGAGTGGATTTTAGCAAATGAAATTCACTGATGTTCTAGACTGTGAAATCCGCTTACAGAATCAATGATATTCACCGAGGGGTCGTTTGGTTACTGGGATAAGGATACTAAATCCCGGAATAGAATCGATAGAATATGGATTCTATTTATCCCATGTTTGGTTATGGGTATTAGATAGTGGTGGGATAAATTTAATACCAAAATGGTAGGATTAACTATCCATATATAAGATGGGATAGCTAATCCCATGGGATATCCTTGTCTATCCCCTTTGTAACCAAACGACCCCGAGTATCTCGGACGAGAGTTGCATAAGTGTGACATTTTTGTAACTTTCTGAATGGTTAAATTTGTTCTAAGCGCCTAGTTGAAGTTGTTAAGCCATATTTACAATGTCAAACATATTTTCATACAAATAAGAAAACGTGGAAACATTCCTTTGGAATTTCCACCCAAACTTCTATCTATTCCTCGAGGACCAAATGATAATCTAGAAACACCCCCCCCCCCCCCAAAATCAAAATGAGACAGACCGCCAAGCCTTATAACGGAAAATGAGGAATAGACAATAAAATCAACAAGCATGTTTAGGATCCATATAAGCAACAAAACCTCAAATTATAACAAGTGAGCTTCAGCAGTATCATTTATCCTTCATCACAAGAACTAAGCACTTACAAAAAGTGGCACTGCACCTTCCTTATCCCAAATAAGGACCATTAACCGCACAACTCCACTTATATTTGCCAAAGCATTACAAGTCCAAACTCTCGATAAAGTAAGAGGGTTGCAGCCAGGTCAAGGGCGGATCCACACTGAAAGATATGGGATTGGCTGAATCCAGTAGCTTTGTCCTAGACTTTATATGTGTTAAGAAATCCACTAAATATGAACAAGTATTAAATTTCAAACCCAACTATTAGCACTTGAGGTCGCTATCCCAGAACTTCGAACCCATATAACCGACCCCAACTAGTTCGGTTTTCGTAAACAGTTATTGTTATTTAATATAACGCGCACAATATATGAACTTAAGCAAAGTTATAACATTGCAATAATCTCCACATGTAACACGGTGTTATCAGAAGAGTTTTCGACAATGTATAGATTTTTTACCGTGTTAGGTTAATTTGACCTACAACAATAGGCAACTCTTCATAGCAAGTCTTATGTGCGTAAAGTAGAATAATAACCTACTATAACTAGTTAGATTGCACTAATGGTGTAAACAGTGTTTAGTTTGATTGCACTAATAGTGTAAACATCACTGAATATAATTCTGTGCACTGACAGTGTACAGACTTTTTACACTATCAGGTTAAAGTGACCTACAACAACAGGTAATAAGAACAAAATTCAAGTTTTTAAGACTAACCTAAAAACAAATTTTATCGTCATCATCAACTTCGCTTAACCTCCGTAACATCAGCAACAACATCACCAATATTGTCGGATGAAGAAGCATTTTTAGTATCCAAGTCTTCGCGCTTGAAAGAGGGCAAAGGATTGGAACCTTTAATAATCCAACCAAGCCCATAAAAAGATAGCCCAGCTAATATAGCAGTACCCCAAGCGTGAGAATACCATTTGCTGTACTGCCGAATAGCGAACCTCCATTGCTCTCTCAGTGTTGCCGGGTCCGGATTTGAACGGTCCGGCGGGTTTGGGTAGTTGTGGCCACCGGAAAATCCGCCGTTAGAGGATCCGCCGGAGATTTTAGGTGGATTTTTTGACGGCGGTTGAGGGAGGTTGTCGGTGGGTTTAGGGTTTTGATGGTCGGTCATAGTTTATGGATACTGATGAAAGCAAAATGCAGTTCTACTTTAGCTTCTGTGAGAAAATGTGAGTAAAGCTTCAGCGCTCGCCACGTTAGCATATTACTTTTTATTTTTTCGTTTTTTTCGTTTATTTTCTTTTGAATAATTGAAGTAACTCTTTTGTTTGTAAAAATGTTGCGAGGACGTGATTTTTGCCTCGCTTGAATTACTCCTACAGAATTCTTAAAATTATAATTTTTCTTTTATTATTCGATTTTAGGAATTAATTGCATAATTTTCGTATTTATTTGCATTTTTTTTATATGAGAATTTTTTTTAATTTAGCATAATTCATCTAAAAAAATATAAAAATACGCATTGCATTGGCATTTAGGACTTAATTTTATATTTTTATATTAATTAGTATTTAGGGTTTTACAAAAAATACAAAAACCAAAAATTGATATGTTGCTTGGTTTTAAATTTTAGATTTGAATTTTATTAGTTTTCTTTAAATTGGTATTTTACTAATAGTTTTGATTATTATTTCTAGCTTAATATAATTAGGTAGATTAGCTTAATCTTTTAGGTTTAATTTTAGTTCTATTATTAGAAAAAAAATAAATAAAAGAAAAGGGATTAAAAGAAATTGGAAAATTGAAAAGAAAAGGAAATTAAATAGGGTCTTTTGTTTCAGATTTTTGGACCTTGTCCAATCTCTAAAAAGCCAAGCCCAAACCCCTCAGTTCATCTAAACTCTACCCAGGCCCAATTTTATCACCCAGTCCGGTCCAACCCAACCCCTGATCCGGTCCAGAGACGCCCAAAACGACGTCGTTTTGGTGTCAATGGATCATGACCGTCCATCCCCTCAAATCTAACGGCCTGGATTGAATCTTGAATTAAAA